CCCCCCCCCCCCCCCCCCGCGGTGGTCGCTGCTGCTGCCGAGTGAAAGTTTTAGCTTTTAACCAAGTTTTAGACTTAAATTTAACCTGAGTGTCTGCTGTTCCTTTTCTCGAATAATAAATCTGAAATAAGTTGTTTAAATGATAAAATGTCAATTTGTCGACGTGAACGTTTTAACTAAACTGTTAGCAACATTAGCTTTACGGACTATTTTCAGACAACTTCTCGTTTTAGCGAAAATGCACAAGTTATATTTCCCTTTTTTATATCCTAACTTTTTGTATTGGTTATACTCATTTCTATTTTTTATTATTGCTTGTTCTTTTCCTGCTGTCTATTTTTCTCTTTACATTATTATTTCTACCATCCTTCTATTATAATTATTTGTTTTATCTACATTAATTATAGTGTAATTGTCTTCTTGTAAATCTGTTCTCTTATCTGTAATTTATTGTAGTTGCCTTTATTGATTATGGCTCCCCAAAAACAAATGATGGTGATCCTCAGAATAAAGACAAAATCCAAAACGTTCTGCTTTTAGTTTAATCACAGCAGAGTTAATTCAGCTGTGTTTGATTTGAAGTTGTACTTGATGAAGGCAGGGGATTTCCCTGCACTGACTGTGGACTGGAGTGTTCTGTGGAATTGGCAGTTCATCTGAAGTTACGTCATGAACACACAGAGATTTATTTTTCACGAACAAAAAAGAAATTACACACAGTTACATTAGTGAAAAAAGTCATACACAAAGTGTGTTTGAATTTGCAGCCATAACTTTTCTTGTGAGTATTGTTCCATTGGTTTCACATCTAAAAGTGCAGTCTTTACATGGTCACTAGTCCAGTCTACACCTTGTCGGACATCATTCTGATCAGTCCTACTGGGAACTCCATTCCACTTCCTTCTGGCCCTACAGTGTTGGTACAGTGTTGTTACGGCTGTTGTTATCCACTCAACATCGTCTGGCTGTGATTTTGGTGGTGGAATTTTACTCATACTTTTTGTGTAATGCTGTATGAGATGAACTCCTCAGTGGTTGGTGTTGACTCTGACGCTCCTGCTGGAGTGAATGAAGGCCACTGCATGGTCAACTGTTTCCTTTAAGTTTACTCCTGTGTGCACTGATAGTGGTCGATACGACTGGACTGGGACTGGAGCCAGTTGAAGGGGCGGGGGTGTCTGTGTCTCCATGAAGCGCCACCTTTCTCAGGTTTCATCCTGTCTATCTCTCTGAAGATAATTACAGAAGTGATGAGGTGGTGGTCTGGTGGCTGCTTTTAAGTGGCATTTTTAATACCTTAATACCCTGTGGGTTAAAGATAAAAAAACATGAGTCATCACTGTTATCACAAACTGATAAACGCTCAGCAGTGATTTTGTTTTAGTTTTTGTGTTATGTTATTCTTGTCCACACTAAACCTAATAAAATTTTCAATGTTTTCTAATGTTACTTTTACAGTGAGCAACCAAAGGTTCTACTGAAGCATTTGTTTCCATCTATGTCAAAATTGTAACAAAATGATTTGATGTTGGGGAATAATTTTAAAGCAGAGCAAATTCAATGGCTGATGTCAGAGCAGTTTGCCGTGTTTCTATTGCAGGACAGACAAGACATCTGTGACTTATTCTTAGTTATTGAGCCAAAGGTCACTTATTTTATCACTTTAACACACACAGTTACCCTGCATGTAAGAAATTCAGACAGAAGCCTTATTTTTTTCCCAACTCAAGAGAATCTGTAGACTTTTTTCTCTGGGTTTTTTCCTGACTAAGGTAAAAAAAAATCTCTCCATGTGCCTCCTGATAAGAAAACAAAGATTATACCAACGGGAAGTGGGCCAGTCAGTAAAAGAAGTGGAGAAAAAAAGGTCTTCATGTTCAAACATGCTGAGCCAAAGAAAGGGCCGGTGGAGGTTTGCCGTGTTGTGCTTGTGCTGACTTGGTCATATTTGCATGAGCTCCAGTATTTACATACATGGCTGCATGTTGAAATCAACCCTCAACTGTCTTGTATGGTTCATTATTTTTTAATTTCTGAAGTTGTAATCCTCCAACTACAGTGGAACATTTTCATGTTTTCATTTAATTATGTTATTTATTTATATATTTTAACACTAACTCCTTAATATTTAAAGAGATGCATTTGTTTTCCTCAGCTCTCTAAATAAAAGGTGTTACATAGGTTACTTTGTAAAGATCTGAATTCAGAAAAACTCTGAGGCTACTTACAGAGGAACACTGATTGATCTTTCCTGTTGCTGAGAAGATAAGAATTCCTTTAGCACTTTACAGAAGTTGAAGTGACCCCCCCGCTCCCCCAGATCACTGTAACGACTCTAACCTTACAGACATCTGTATGAGTGTTAAAAGACGTAACCATAATCAGTGAAGGTTTAGTTCGAGGTTCAAAATGAATATTTTAGTTCCTTTTCAGAAACAGACAAGGACACACTGTCATATTGTTTTAAATGATCTAAAACCATGGAGATGAAAAGGAGAGGAGACAGATAGGCTCAGCTCCATTTGTAATTCAATCTCATCCTGCCTCAACCTGTTTGAAGTTCTGTCAAGAAAAATAGGCTTTGATCATGTGAACCTAATCAGCTGAGGGAGTGGACTTTTACTTCTGTCACACAGCTAATGGTTTATGGATCCTCAGATTTTATTCACAGGAGAACAAGTCAAGTGTCTTTACATGCCTGGAGTGTGTGCTGGGCCATATATGTTTCCAAATGGGTCACCAGATTGCCCCCCCCCACACACACACACACACACTCATCTACACTCAAGCAACAACAAGTGATGTGCATCGCCCACTTGTGACTGCGTTGTGCTACACAGGCTGACTGAGGCAGACAGTTGACACATGACCACTGCTGTCTCTCTTCATGTCGCCAACATACATGTTTGATTATATGCTGACATTCTGTCTAATATTTTTATAAATATATAAACTGTGGGAATAACTCATATAACACTGACAGATGACATGTCTGCAAAAGGGGGGTGTTCAGGTACAATTGGAAATGTGAAAATCTATAAAAATGTGGGACTTTTAGATGAATCAAAAACAGCTTTACAAACATGTTAAATGGAAAGGCTTCATTATCATTTCTCTACAACGTATCAGCTTGACTTTGCTCTCTAACATTTGGTCATTGGGTTTTCCATCTACCTGGTGACAGTGTCATGTTCACGCTCAGAGAACCTGAAAGATTCAGCTGTGGTTCATCACGTCACCTTTCATGATCTCTTCTCTTCTTTGTCCTGTATTCTGATTGGACAACAAGCTCTCACCTTCTCTTTTCTTTTGTTGTCACCTCATTCTCCTGCCAAAAACAATGTCGTCATCCTTGTTGCTATAGCACACAGTGGAGTGAGCAGGAACATGCTGGAGAGATGGGTAGAACGGCTGCCTTGACCAAAGGAACACAGGGGAACATGGATCACCCAACTGTTCTTCATAAACGTTTTGTTAACCCTCTGAAATCAAAGTGTGGACAAAGTAACTATTTTCTGAACTACCATTGTATTTAATAAAATCAAAGACAGCCGAGTGTTGAAGTACTGACGGTTTTTGTCGTGAGTCTTCTGAGGGAGCTGCTGTAGTGCTGAGGGTTGTAGTCTGACTTCTGTGTTTGGGAAAATCTCAGGCAGATAGATGAAGCTGAAGCAGTGGAAAGTCCCCGTCTTCCTCCCACTCCCTGACAACTCTGTAGGTCCTCTGTAGCAGAGACATTCACAACACATACACACACACACTAAACTCATCCACAACTATTCCCTCCAAAACATTCATAACCAAATACTTCTTATGGCCCAGGTCTGTGCCTCCCTCAGCCAACTGTAAGTCAACACAGCTGAAGCTCAGCCTGCAAAGGCTAATAACAGCGTAGGATGAGGAGCTGCCGTCGACTGAACCACTTATTATGGTGAAATAAAGTCCTCACCTGTTTTTCCATTCTTCCAACTTCAGGTGAAGCGGCTCTGAGGGCTGACCCCAGACTCCAGTCCCTGTCCTTGTCCTCATCCTCGTCGTCTTCTTCCTCCTCCTCTTCCATCTCCAGCCACAGGACAGGGCCTCCTCCCATCAGCCCTACCAAAAGGAAGCTGAATGGAGAGCAGGGAGACAGTGACATGGAGGATAACGAGCACGTGGCCAAAATGAGTCGACTGTTTGCTGCACAGCTGTAAGTACAGGCACTGACAAACACACCGTCAAACAGTGACCATCAGTAGGCTGACGACTGAAGGTTGTTTTCAATGTAATATGTTTGGGAAGACAAAAAAATCTTACTATCACTTGTGAAAATGACAATCTTCCTCTAACTTATAATCATCGCAGAAAAGTCGTTGGTTTTTTTTTCTATGTTTTTCATGTTTCTGTTGGCCGTGTGTTTCACTTGGTAAAGGCTGCACACACAGGTCTTCTCAAACGTCCCAGTTTAGACTCTAGGCTGCTATGCCCAGCTGAGCCCGCTCCACTGTGTTCTGTTTATAGTCACAGACCTTCTGAACAACTGAAAGATGACTGGATTACTAAACGTTCCCACATTCCCACTTCCAGAGATTCTAGAGTTTCCTGATGAATTTGAATGGTTGAAGGAGTCTTCCTGTCCTCTTATCACTACAGGGATGATCAGTAGAAGTACAGTCAGAAAGTGTCACCGTCTAAAGGCTGTCATAGTAATAGTAATACCATAGTAATACATTACTATCACTAGTATCTTTGTTATTTCATGAAGGGACACTTTTTGGCTGGTGAATCAAAGGATTGTCTTGTGCTTTTGTGTCATTGCTGCAGAGCCATCATGTTGTCTGGCATGAATGTGTTAGTAGTGGTGGAATTCACATCATCTGAAGGCAGTATGTCTGTGTTGTTCTGTTGTCCCGGTCACTTCACAGGAACACTTGTGTCCAATGAAAACTAAAAGAACAGCATTTCAAATGGTTTTGTTGTTCCCTGAGTGTCAAACAGGAATGAGAACACAGTTTATAACACAGTTTATAACAACACACAGGAGGTTTTTCTTTTCACACACAAAATCTATTGCCTCACAGTCACCATAAAAGTGTGTAGTATTTTATTATTTTTCTCCGAGGGCATTTTCTTCCGGCGGCGGTAACTGCTCAACGACTCTGTGGTTGTACAGAAGTGGACCGTAAACCTGAACAGCTCTGTCTGTTGACTGGTCTGTGTTTATGTCTGTCATTGATTATTCACACAACTGTGGCAGCAACCATGAGGTTTAGTTTAAGAATGACAGGCTCTGAGGGAAAAGTCCAAAACTTAGAAGCCAGAAGAATACACACACACACACACACACACACGCACACACACACACACACGTACTGTATGTGTTCATATATTCACACACATATATGTGTGAATATATTGTGTAACATATACTGTATATATATATATATATTGTGTTAGTATGCAGTAGTACTGTCTTAGTATACAGTAGTATTGTCTAAGTATACAGTAGTACTGTGTTAGTATACAGTAGTATTGTCTTAGTATACAGTAGTATTGTCTTAGTATACAGTAGTATTGTCTTAGTATACAGTAGTATTGTCTTAGTATACAGTAGTACTGTGTTAGTATACAGTAGTACTGTCTTAGTATACAGTAGTATTGTCTAAGTATACAGTAGTACTGTGTTAGTATACAGTAGTACTGTCTTAGTATACAGTAGTATTGTCTAAGTATACAGTAGTACTGTGTTAGTATACAGTAGTATTGTCTTAGTATACAGTAGTATTGTCTTAGTATACAGTAGTACTGTGTTAGTATACAGTAGTACTGTCTTAGTATACAGTAGTACTGTGTATTGTGTATATAGTAGTGTACATGTACAGCTAACCTGCACAAGAAGAACCAAATGTCGTGTTTCCCTGTGGTTTTATTGTGATTTTCATGTTTTCAGTTTGGCCTTTAATAAATTGAAGAGAGTAAAGTACAGATTGAGGAAAGACAGTCAGCCCTCACAGTCCTGTCTTATTGTGTACTACGTGCCTGTGTGTACATGCCTGTTTTGCTCTGATCCTCTCTGTGGTTGTGGTTGTGAGTGGGCTCCATGTCAGGCTGCAGGGGCCAAGTTCTCTGAGAGTTCTCCTCTTCTCTGAGGAGGAGGAGGAGGAGGAGGAGGAGTCTCAAACAAAGAAGCCTTATCCTGTCAACTGGAGCCTGTGGGCTGGAGGCTTGCTGCTGCCTGCCCACCAACCTGCCACTCCACACTTCACCCCATCCCCCCGCCCCCCCATGTCATTTGAGAATATGAAGCTGGTACCAGGTCAGATAAGGGAGTAGGACACTAACACATGGTACTTTGACCATGGTCCATTTACTAGTAAATACTTCTCTTGTGGATACAGTACAGATGGTTGGCTTGGATTGGTCAGTTAGCCCAGGTATGGACGGCCACTCTGAAGTAGTTCAACCAGCCAATAAACCAATACACCTCCTTCTCCCATGTTAATGCTGTGGATCCAGAATATTCTGAGTCACTGAGTTGACTCTGCTGCTGCGTTTTCACTGGGAACTTCATCAGTTCACTGTTCTCATGGAAGTTGGTCTGGAGGCTGAACAGAGAGAACACATGTCCCTCTCTCTCTCTCTCTCTCTCTCTCTCAGTGACACCCATTGGTTTTACATGTTGACTCTATAGTAGGAGGAGATTGTAGAAAGTGTGTGATCGTTTTCTTTGTCTTTGTTTTCTCGTGGTCATTTCTAAGCCAGTGATGTCGTTTTTACATGAAGTGTATTTAGTGTTCAGTGTTGTATCTCATGTATTTACATTATTTTGTCAGTATTTGAGCTATTTTAAGAATACTGTAATCGTTCAACATTAATCTATTCAAACTTTAAACATATGGTGTAGTATTGATAGTACACGACGTGTGTGTGTGTGTGTGTTCTTTATATCCTGATTTTTCCCAGATGTTTGCTGTTTCTGTCTCTTTGAATATTATTGTTCTGTTTATAGTTGAACTGATGATGTCACAGAGGAGCTCAAAAAACAGTTGATGATAATACAGTTGACCCCTGCGGGGGTCACACCCAAAGCTCTGGCCCCTCCCACAGTTATTACCTTCACCTGGTGATAAAAAGTTTTAAACTTATTGACTTATTAACCCCCTCCTCATTAACCCACTACTTGTCTGTCATGTGTGACCTTCTCCGTGCCCCCTCCTCTTCCTCCTCTTCTTCCTCAGCTGAGACCTGAATGATAATGGAGAAGTGAGCGAGAGCGGCAGAGAGAGGCACACAGTGGGTTGTGAATGCCTGGAACCTGGCATGAAGTTGTGG